TGTCAATCATATTGCAACCATTTTCTAGACGAAGGAAGTTTAGAAGTCAAACTTCCGACAATATGGACAGATGGAAAAGCAAAGGTGGGAAGAGTCAGAGAAGAGAAGAAGAAAGAAGAAAGAAAATCAGAGAAGAGAAAGGGTCAGAGGAAAGAAGATGCAGGTGCGCGAAAAGGTAGAAAAGTCGCGAAGCACTGTGTTTTCCAATGTTTTGTGACTCCGGAGGGTCGAAAAGTAGGCTCGCTAAAGCGGCGGGTGCGGAGCCATCTGGCCAGATGAGAGACGAAAAATTGCACGCCGTTGTGGTGCGAAGCACATTTCCAAGTGAACATGTTACAAAGCACGTCATGTTCGGACCGCTTTTGGAAGTTGAGATGTCGAAAAAGTGCACGCCGTTGTGGCGCGAAGCACGTTTGGAAGTCAAAAGTGTTACTGACGGGTTCGGAGCACTTTTGGATGTTCAGGTTTCGTTTTGTGTGGTAGGCGCAAAGGATTCTGCACCTTGCTAGAAATCGGCAAAACGTGAGGGTTTTGTAGCAGTTTCAAAAGCGTTGGCAGGCGTGGGACATTTGAAGAGGATCTGCGAAGATGCATGTCGCGTGGCAGGCGCTGTACAAGAGACATCTTCATCAGTGCTGTTAGGAGGTCAGGGCGCTGATTTCCTGAGAGGGGTTGCATTTTGGTGCATCAGATCTTCAGGTTTGCTAAGATGATTTTGCGTGACAGATAGGAAGTCTTGCAGAATTGCTTCGTTTTTGACGTTGTCAAGTTAAAACGTTGAGGAAAGCTCGCAGAATTGCTGCGTTTTCAAGCTTGCAGAAAGACACATAGATAGATAAAAAGATAGATAGACAACTACAACTACCACTACACTACGTACATTACTACTACAACTAAAAATACAAATATACTACGCTACATTACACTACACTAATTACAGTACACTACACTAATTACATCTAATTACTACTGCTGCTACTGCTACTGCTACTGCTGCTGCTACTGCTACTGCTACTGCTACTGCTGCTACTACTACTACTACTACGACTACGACTACGACTACGACTACGACTGCGACTACGACTACGACTACGACTACGACTACGACTACGACTACGACTACGACTACGACTACTACTACTACTACTCCTACTCCTACTACTACTACTACTACTACTACTACTACTACTTAGTACTACCTAGTACTACCTAGTACTACTACTACTTAGTACTACTACTGCTACTACATTACTACTACTACTACGACGACGACGACGACGACTACTACTACTACTGCACTACAACTACAACTGCACTACACCACACTACATCCAGCAGTTGTGGTGAGGTGACCACTGCAACCATTGCAACCACTTCAAAAAACACAACTCCAAGCACCTTTCGGTCCATCAGTGGATTTGCTCTGCCATCTGTGATTCGCAACAACGAACCTCTCCTATAGGTTTCCTATTTTTGAAACTGCCTTGTGCGGTACTACTGGTATACATTGTCTCCATTTGCCTCCTAGCTCGTGCTGAGTCCAGGAAGTGCTGCTTGAGAGCAAGACTCGCTCGAAAGGCTTTCGGCGTGCTTTGGTGGTTGACGAAACCAGGCCAGGATACAGCAGCACTAATACGAAAAACTTACTTCAGATCTTGGCAGTCTGACAGGATCTGGCAGTGTAGTGTTTGACAGGCCGCCCCTTCCAATTGGTGGTGAAACCTCACCTCAAGCCAGGGAGGCCTTGTGCTCAAAACCCTGTGCACGTTCGAAATTTCGGGTGGATTTCTCCTGGCATACAAAATTCAGTTCCTTTTATTTTGGCCCTGAAAGATCTGAAAGCGTGAGGCGCCTGTGGTAGCAATTTTTACCAACAATGCAGAAGAACGGGAAGCAGCTTTGGACGCTCTCCGTGCTGCAGGTGGGCACTTCGCAATAGAGCATTCAACAAGTAAAAACTGCCAAACAAATTGAACAAATCCAAACAATTTAACACATTTTGACCCACAATTCATTCAGCAAAGGTTTGATGATCTCAATGTTACTTCTGCAATGCTTTGCAGATCTAATTCACGATTTGCAGCATGACCATGCCGGACGAATTAGCAAATTCAATACGAGACATTTTGAGACTCTCACATATCCTGCGCATGAAAATCGAAGAAGTTGAAGCACGTGGCTCGGATGTGAGGTGTATCCTTTCACATGGTAGCTGCCATGGGTGGGACCGCATCAGGCTTAGCCTACGTGCTTGCCTCAGTTCTTGGATAGTTGGGACAGATACACAGACCGTGGAAGTGTCACATTCTGTGCTGCATTGAAGCTGCTTTGAATTTTTTCAAAGGCCAACATGCTGCACAATTCTGATCTACTTGGACCTTCGCTTGTAGCATCTATGCCCCGGCGACCTTCGAAGCTTTGCACAGATAATGCAAGAGTATGCAAGAGTGAAATCGGTTGAAGCAAGTTCCACAAAACTCGCAATCAAAGTGGACCAAGGCTCATCAAGTGTCACTTTGCACGCCGCAAAATGCAAAGTGGCTGTGTAAGATGTAAGTAATGCAAGTGACTACTCATGTCATGGAAAGGCACATTTTGGACCAAAAACCAGATGACATCCACTCGCGCACGCATGTGCTAGAGCAATAACAGTGGTTAGCTGAGACAACAGGATATAATAAGAAAGATGTCGCGGGTTTTGTGGGACATTCTGTTAGCAGAGCAATGGTCACTAAAGGTGGCTCCTAGAGGGCTACCGTGAGTTTTACTCTATGGATTAGAAGGGAGGCTCCCCCCAATAACGCCCGAATAATCGGCCAAGACAATATTACTTTTTCTTTCCTGCCCCACCCGCACCCTTGGAAGGAAAACAAAGCCCTGTACTATATTATATATTATATTATATATAATTAATATATAATCATAGTTACCGGTATGTGTATATGATATGATATGTATATATGGTGATCGATCTAAAGGTCCTTGTAAGGAGTTTTAATTGCGAAAGCCGTGCATGTTATGTTGGAAACCCTCGCGAAAGTTTTTTTTACGAGTTCGCGAAAGTAAAATTTTATTTCGCGAAAGTTTCGCGAAAGTTGGGTATTATAATCATTATATGTAAAGGGCTGCCACCCACTGCCGCCCGGGGTCCGGCAGGAGAAGGGCACCAGAGAATGCGAGTAGCAGTAGCCAAGTTTCCAAAAGTGAGGCTTTGCGAGAGCCAAACACCAAGGCCCCTGGTCTTTGCTTTTCCTTCCGTGCGCCCCCTGCTGATGGCCGGGGTCTGTGAATAGGGATATTTTCGCGAAAGTTCCGCGAAAGTTATGCGAAAGAGCGGGCGAAAGTCAAAGTGCATGTTGAAGGGGGTGGGCCAGTAAACTTTGCAAAAAAAATATGTCCTGAGAAGGGACTCCGTGATGCTAGCTGCATGTTTAAAAGGCTACCAAGAAGTGATCCGTGATTCTCTGGCGTAATTTGGCAGGTGGTGAACGAATCTTCATAAGAGGTGTTGTTGGCCAACATGGGCCCCGCGAAAGATAAACATGGAGTTCGTGAAAGTTTTGCGAAAGTAAAATTTTTATTCGCGAAGAATGGCCGTTCCGGGATAAAGGAATTTTGATCAACAACCATATATATATATAGTTATATATATATATAATATATCTTTTTAACAAACCTTTGTGCCTGGTTCGTGCAGAGATCTCTCAATACCTTGTCCCTCGATCATATAGTGTTCTGGACGTGGGCCCTATAGTCAGTTCGCATCCAGCATGACGTGGTGGATTGCTGCTGTTTCAAATGAACCATGTTGATCCCAAACAGTGTCACACGTCATCATCATCGGGCGGTATGACATGCTACCAGGCCTCTTTCAGTCTCCACCTTGGCTGCCTACCTTTCGCGTTCCACTACTCAAGTTTCCCACCCCTGTGACACGCTCTCTTGACTTGTAAGAGACCCCTATCCGGGAGGACGATGTTTTGGGACACTCCCCGGGGATGCGTTTGCAGGACACGCTTGTGCCTGGGACGCCGTCAAGTATACTCTTGAGACAAATAGACAAGCTTTTCAAACATGTTCAATCGGTTCTTTGACCCACTCCTGCTGTAGGGCTCCTGCTGTGGGACCCTCCTGTTAGAGACTCTTTGAAGACGCTTTTGCCAAACACTCTTGTGGGACACTCTCGCAAGACACGCTTCAAAGGCATTAACCAAGTTTTTGACAGCTTGCAACATCATGAGGAATTATAGCCTTGTAGCATGATTTTACCATATTTTACCTTTCTTGTCAATTTCTGAAGAGGTACCGAATCTTGAACAAGAGGTGGACAGCACGAGACAGTTGCAGACGACTACGTCGCAGCGAGCACGGTTTTAATCCCATCAAAGGCAACACGTTGAGAATAGCAACGCGGCAGCTGCTTCTGCAGCCGCTCAGTACAGCAACATGCGTTTGCGAAGATAAAAATACAATGCAGCCGTGCAGCCACACATAGCTTCGGCGCAGGGCCGTGCATCGAGGCTCCATGACGTCACTCTTGCCACGAAGGTTAGCTTCTGCTAGCTGAAGACCCTCTTGCTTTAGCAAGGTTTTGCGGGGGGTGGAATCTCCAATCGCATGCAACTTCGTAGTTAACTCCCCCCTTTCTCCCCCTGTCTGGTTCACAAGCAGCTTGGCCGTGGCCCGATCCCGCTCGGGACACCGTCGGCATGTCGCCACCGGCAGCAAACCGGCAGCATCCGCATCCTCAGCATCATTGGAGTCGTCAACAGCGCATGCTTCAAGTCACTGGTGCAGCTACGCTCACTATCGGCATGTTCATGGCTCCCCTAAATCGTAGTTTCATTTTCATTGTGAACCTTCACCCGTAGTTTCCAGTCAGTTCTCATAATAGCAAGCTTGACCACCCAAACCCAATCCAGGACCTCATTACCCAACGGATAGCTGTTGTGAGCGGCAGAATTCACAAGTTTTGAGGAAAAGTTTCATCAGAATAATTTCCTACTGCTTGCCCTCACAAGAATCGTGTCTGACACCTGTCATGGCACCACGTAATTACACTACATCAGTCATTTGCCTACATCTGCCCTACAGTTGTCCAATTACACACATCTGTTTCCAACATCTGCCTTTACTTCTCTGCATTGACTGCACAGATTACTCCAGATTAATCATGATTAATCTAGCACCAAAAAATCAAACAAAAAAAACAATGTTTTCACAACTACTCTGACCTCTAGACTAGTTTCCAAATCTTTGTTTTTTTTTTTGGTTCTAGATTAATCATGATTAATCTGGATTAATCCTGATTTCTCACTGACATAACATCAAACATCACAACCCTGGCTTTCCGCTTGACTCCGGCTCGAAGTTCGGGCCTGCTTGTTTGCTTCTGCGTCTGTGTCCGGTCTTGCCCTGTCATGTTTGTTCGGTTTTCTCGAGGTTTTGGTATGATCCTGATTAATTAATCTGGATTCGTAACGTCCTACATCATGACTCCGGCTAGTCCCGGCCTCCTTGTCCCCAAATTTGGAAAATCAGATGCTCCGAGACTTGGGTATGGGTTGGGGGCAATTTTGTAGCTCATCTATTTCCACCTAGTTTTCTGCAGAATTTGGCACTGTTCAAAAACAATGCCGCAACAATTGAAACAAAATAAAGCAGACAAAGTGCACTTAGGACATGGGTTCGGATTTTTTTTACATACACTCTTCCACCCAAGTCTTTTTTTTCAAAGAAGGTGATATTCCTTACAGAAAGTGTGGCCTGACTTTGTGCATTCCCTTTGAAAGATTGTAATATCTTTGAAAAGAGTGCAGTAATAGTCTGAAATAGGCCTTCAATGCGCATACATGGTTGCCCTTTGGTGCATAAATGATGGAATCACTTGATTCAGAAGAGTGCACAACTCTTTCATATTGAATACAGAAACTAGTTTCTTTAGAGAAAGACATGATTCTTAAGGAACAACAAACGAAAACTGAACCTTTTCAACATGAATACTACACGTGTGAAGACAATTAGTTTTACTTTTGCAGGAACATGGCTTCTTGAAAAGGATACTATATTGTCTTATGGTGGGGTACTTCAACATAGTCATTTGAGTGATGTTCAAGGACTTTAGTGTTGATGCATTGGGTATTGCACTTTTGACATGAATTCTGCATATTGAAGGGATGGTTGTAAATCGTAAAGCATGCTACATATGGCACAGGAATATTGCCTATTTGAAGGGATATCATGTGGAAGAAGATTTCGCTTTTTCAGAAACGAATGCTGCATTTTTTAGATTTTAGGGATTTCTTCATAATTGTAGGGGTATTGCTTGTTGAAAAAAACATTGTACTTTTTCAAAGGAAAAATGCAATTTAATGAAAAATGCTTCTTTATAAGCTGGGGATACTTCATTGTTTAGAACAGGAATGCACTATCATGCTACATATTATAGAAACATGTTTACCCCTAAATGGAAGGATGTACATCTTTAGGGACGCCCTGCATCTTTTAGAAAAAAACCCGTTAGATTTTGCAAGGGATACTGGAAGGATTCATGAAACTATTCAAGGATATTATATAAGATGCACATATGTTTCAATATGCTTATTCCTGAATTGTGTGTATTTACATTTATGATCATTTTCGGCTCTTTGACTCTGATGCATTTACTTAATTGCATTCAATAAGAACAACATATTTCACAAGGAGACTCTTAAACAAGAAATATAATATGAATTTAATAAGATTTTGCATGGGAATTGCATGGAACTAGATGTCCAATAATTTCTGAATAAAAACTTGCCTTTCTTGATTTATGGCAATTTTGAGCACTGAAAAGTAGCACATAGTTGGGTGACAGATACAAGTATGTACTTAAAGTGCAACCTGTTCATATCTGGATCAGAAGGATTTGCAAAAAAGAATGCCATTCATTTAAGCAAATTTTCTGCCGCTCACAACAGTCCCCTCCCTTACCCAAATGCTTCCCAACGTCGTAACATGGCGCCTAATATTTTGGGGTTTGATCCCTTGATTATGTCCGGAACTGGATTAATAGATTTAAAGCCTAAGTACCGAACCACCCCTCCCAAGACACCTCCTAAAGTCTGGTTTCAGAAATTTTGGACTTAAGTGCCGACATGCAGGGCTTTACTTGGTACATCAAGGATTTTAACTTCAAGAAAGCACTGACTCCAGGATTTGATTCCGGAACCTTGAACAAATATGCAGAGCAAGGATGACGATATTGATTCTTGCTGCATTGATATGAAAACAAGCCAAAGAGACCAAAGCAGAAAAGAACTTGGTGGTATAACAAATGATATTGATTGTGATGCGATCTTTTAAACCCAAAATGTATTTTGCCTCAAGAAAACACACAACAAACGCCTCAAAGCACCTCAAATTTGTGGAAAAGAATACTGAAAGAGGAGAAGTGTCTAGTTCCTCACGCTCCCACACATGAATTTTGACAAAAAAATGTTGAACCTTGCAAAAACAAAG